TCGTCTCCAGTATCTGTCTGTATCATGATAATATTTAATGGAACAAGTAAATGAATTGACACGAGCATAGAATGAAAATTAACTGAGAAGTACTACTATATTCATAAACACAAGCATCGTATAGCCTTGAATGTCATCATATATAAGCACAGGGTGACAGAAGTGCCAATATATTACTTATGATCGCCATAATATATTTATTATTCATGTGGAAAAAACTTCGAGATTGTTTGTCTCACAAAAGTAAGTTTAATAACTAATAATTTAGTATGGTGTAGATACATAACCTTTATTGTATAGTTCAGTTCAATAGATTGATAGAATGAGTAAATCGATTGAAAAGAAAAAGAACAATAAACTTGTTTACACAATGTGAATGGTAAGTGCTCTTCGGCAATGAGATAAACAATCATTGTTCTCAAAGTTGTTTTGCAATCATACAACGCACAACGAGGAGACACGCGGCTAATCAGTAACGTGAATAAACTGAATTTAGCCCATGGATGCGAGATCGTGCAAATTCTTTAGACTCTATAAATGAGGTCGATGAAACGAACAAATCAGAGCAGACAGTTTTATTTAGACAGCAACAGCTGACAACACCATCTTCTCTGCATTGATGAGCGAATATAAGAGAATGAATGACATGTACGGTCAAATCGACTGCAAATGGAAGTATGATGTAATAAATGCGAGGCTATCTCGATTGTTAACTCTTGCTAGGAAAATATTCCTTTTGTATTTTTCTTAAATAGACCATCATGAAGATTAATACTCGCTTCACCTAAAATTTCAGTTGAGATTTCTATTTATTGATAAATTTTGAAAACAAAACAAATATGCTTTTGATTAAAAATAATCCAAGGTATGAGATAAACATATTTTTTTGTAGAATAGTACAGTCAATTAAAATTCTATCTTGGAATTTTTATTTGCATGCATCTTCATTAGAGTATTTCTGTCTTATTTTTGAGAGCAGACCTTGGGGAATATTTTCCATAAAATATTCATTATGTTTTCAATCAATTGATTTATTCTCTGATGATCATAAAGTTGGTTATCAAAGAAAATTCGACGATAAAACCAAATGTGACATTTTCGCTATCATTATCGCCTCGAACGATGTTCAATCTATTTAAGTAACACAGAACATTCATACTCATGGTAGTTTGATTGTTGAAAGAGAAACAGAGAGCATATAATATTTCTACTCAACGATGATACGATAAACTTTCATCAAATAGTGGCTATATATCTCTATTCTCTTTCTTTTCTCTTATTCTATTTGCGATATTTCCTCTGTCGTGTTGGTGTCGAGAGAGCGGAAACATTTTATGCTTGTTTTGACCTTTTTCTCGTTCACGCTTAATACATTAATAATCATCGAACATTTTATTCATTACTTGTGTTTTTCAAATCTTTTTTATCGACATATAATGCTTATGAAATTTCTTGTAAGTGCATTTGAACGAGCGAGATCAAAATTAACTGTGACACGTTCTGACGAACGATTTCGATCAGGTTTGTTTAAATAGATTTTTTCATGTATTTAAATAATTTTACTACTTAAAATGATAAGTTCATTTGTTATTTTCTTTTTTATAGACTCACATATTAAAATAAGCAATATTGATTCAAAGTGCAATAGACAAAATGAATCTTCAGGAGCATTTATTATTCAACGACAACCTCGTTCATCATTATCAAAATGGTTATGTACCACACCGATAATCACAAGTCGATCGGTAAAAAAGCATTTATCAATAGTTTTTCATCGAATCAATACAAAGAATAATCTCTAGTGCGTTGAACATGTTCTTCTCTCTCATTCTATTTCTCATAATACACATAACAAATGATAAGTTGTGAAGTACTCGTACTGTGAGCTTGTATTTGATAACAGGTATTAAAGAGCAAAAACAAATGTACGCATGCATCCTCTCACACCCGAAAAAGACAAGTTGAATCACGTTATCGGAGAGTTTTTACAGATATGTGAACTGATTTGTTCTTTTGTGTTTATCAGGATTACTAGTCAATAGAGAGTAACAGTTACCACATCGAGCAAGATGAGATAAGAAAAGAACAATTGCCTAATAGGTCTGCATGGTAGCTGAAGAAATATTCAAGAATCTGAATGAACGCCAGAATAAAAATATATATCGATATAGAATGTCAAATAAATGAGTGAGGTTAATTATGAATTACTGTTATCTGAAGAGAAAGAAATAACTAAATGATATAATTATGATTTATAGATTTCTTCATCGAAGTCAAATAAAGTACGTCGAACTAGTTCATGGCGTTCTTTGAAAGAGCATACAAATAACTCGATTGTTTCAAGAACATTTTCTGTTGATCAACTTCATCGTAACAGTAAAAAATTTCGAAATACACAACAACAAAATCGTATGTTACTTCAAGACTTTCTCAAATAAATAAATGTATGTTAGTTTAATTATTTATTAATTTAGCATCACCTTCTTCGTTGATTGATGCTACTCATTGTAGTCAAAAACTACCTAATGATACGAAAAACTATACTCATTTCGATCGATTATCATCAACACTGGTGAATTATTCTAATTCACAGAAAGCATCACAACGTCGACATAGTCAAAAGCAATTTGAACAGCAAATGCTTTTAACATTATCACAGCGTAGTACTGAATGTGACTCAGGTTATTCAGAAGAAAATTTTGCAACGAGATCATGTAAACGTTCATTACATACATCATGTCCACATTGTCACTGTGAACAACGTTCATCGTTTGATAATTATAAAAAATTAAGAAATAATTCATCAACAGAATCATCTCCGTCTGATATAGTTATTAAAAATGAAATTCGAAAATCATCTGATACTGATTGTTATAATAACGAGAATGTATTTGCCAGTCAATCCTATCCACATATTAAATCAATATCGAAAACAAACATTCAAGCGCAACAAAAACTAACTCGAACTCTTTTAGAAAAGCGGCGACGAAATCTTTCATGTGATAGTTCACTTTGGATGAGAACGCAAACACAAAAACCAACTATTTTAGTAAGGAATATGAAAAAAAAACTAAGATCAAATAGACATAGTCAACTTATAGAAAAACCTAAGAAAAATATTTCATAATAGAAATCTGTTAAAAAATAGAACACATTAAATTCCATGTATGTTTCATAAATTTAGACAGCCTCTCCAGTGTTTTCTGAATCTAATCATCTTTCCCTTCAACGGCATTTGACGACAATTGATATGAAATATTTTCATCCAGTAGCAACACATGAAAAACTAAATTCAAATGTATTTGGTGAACTTAATTTAGCTGCTATTGAACGTGATTCTCTTCGAACATCAGCTTCATCATCTTCTTCTTCGATTTCAATGAATAATGAAAAAATTCATCAAAAACGTAAATATCTCGTTTGGCATGAATATAAAAATTCATCTTTACTATCAGCAACGAATGGAGCAAGCATATTTTCGGTTATACGCGGTGATCAAGTACATCTATTAGAACGTATTGGAAAGTCAACATTAATTGTACAAAAAGAAACAGATGGTTCAATTGGGTTTTTACCTCAGTCCTGTTTAGCATACCATCAGATCGACTCGTTTTTATCTCTTAAAGGTTTAAAGGAAACTGTTTTGTAATTCAAACCTATCAATTTGTTATATACTACTTATAAAATTTTTGTATTTGTACTGAAACGGAAATAAACAATCAGCATGATGAACTTTCAATATTAATAAACACTGTTCATCTTGCGTTATCTCTATTTTGATTCGAGATTATTAATAAATTTAAAAATCATCAGTATTTTTATTTTACATTGTAGCTGCTTTAGACGCTGATACTTTCGGTGAGGAATTTACTCAAGTACTGAAACATTTACTAACTACTACAATCTCTCATTAGAATTATACTCCAACGACACTATCATCCTCCATGTATCAATGAGACAATATATGAAATTATGAAGTTATTGGATCTCTTTCAATATTACATCGTGCTTGAGTAACACAAGATCGCTCGCATGCATTCGTCAATAAATCCATTGAAATTCTTACGACAGTAGATGAAAAAAATCATACAAATATTTTTATTCATTGTCGTATCAAAACAAAATAGCATACGTTTCAATAAAACATTTATGTGAAGAAGATTTCTATTTCATTACAATATTTTCGTTGATGCCTCTCTGTCACATGATGAAGAATTACTTCATCGAGTTGTCAGCGAAATTTTAAAAAGGACTATTCATTTTGAAATCTAAACTATTGTATATTTACAGTTTTTTTTCTCGTCGAGTTACGTCATAATTCCATTATATGGAAAATATCGCAATCTTCTCTTCTCTTCTCTTTCGTCTCCAGTATCTGTCTGTATCATGATAATATTTAATGGAACAAGTAAATGAATTGACACGAGCATAGAATGAAAATTAACTGAGAAGTACTACTATATTCATAAACACAAGC